GTGGTTTTTATTTGTAGAAACTGGGGGATTTATTTTTTTAAAAAAGACAGAATCGGCTCGGCGCCTATAGCTCAACCGGCTAAGGCGCCAGCCACGTACACCTAAGGTGGCGGGTTCGGATCCCCAGCCCGGACCCGCCAAACAACAATGACGGCTGCAACCAAAAAATAGCCGGGCGTTGTGGCGGGCGCCTGTGGTCCCAGCTACTTGGGAGGCGGAGGCAAGAGACTCGCTTGAGCCCAGGAGTTGGAGGTTGCTGTGAGCTGTAATGCCATGGCACTCTACCCAGGGGGAAAGCTTGAGGCTCTGTCTCAAAAAAAAAAAAAAAAAAAAAAAGACAGAATCTCACTCTGTCTCCCAGGCTAGAGTATAATGGCATCTCCATAGCTCCTGAAACTGCTGGGCTCAAGCAAGCTATCTTCCTTCCTCAGCCTTCCCAGTAGTTGGGACCACAAGTATGTGCCACTATGCCTGGCTAATTTTTTCTGGGGTCTCACTGTTGCTCAGGCTAGTCTTAAACTCCTGACCTCAAGCAATTTCCCACTTTGGCCTTCCACAGTGTTAGGATGACAGGCGTGAGTGATTGGTCCTGGCCAGGGACTGGAGAATTGTAACACAACACAAGTGAAGAAACACAAAGAGACCTTGGAAGCTGTTCACAGACATCTAGATGTGGGGAAATCAGTAGAGATATTCTGAGAGTTTCTCCTGTTTCTCCTTCATTGGAAGTCAAGCTCTTCAGTCAGTGATGAAAGGGTTTCTTGTTTGATATTCTGTTTTTGATGAAGTGCTTGCTGTGTTTCATTCATTTTGTTAAACATCCATTATTGATTTTGCCCAAAGTAAAAAACTAAAGGGCTAGTTTTCACTGGGTGCATGATGAAACCTCAGGCTTTTGTGATGGTGGCTGGGAGGCTGTTGGGGAGGGGAGGGTCACGGGGTCCTCCTGCATCTCCCACTATTGAGCCAGCACTAGGCCACCTTAATCTCTTTTCTATAGTGGCTGCTTGCTTAAGATTTTTGTTTTTATAGAATTTTATTGCTTGAAAAATGTTGGAAAGTCATCACGTTAGGGAATTGGTGCTATTGTACACATAAAAATAAATCACTTCTTTTTGAAGATTCATTTTGGATTGTTCACATCTCAAAGAGATGAAATATGTGACTTCTTTCCTCTATCTCACTGAGTCACAAGTCCTGAATGTTGGAATGCTTAGAAATCTTTTTTAGGACAAAATGCATCTCTGCTATGTGCAAGGTTTTTATGTCATAAAAATACTTTTTTTCATATAAAATATATTTTTATACTTTTTATAACTTTGATTTCATAGCCTATAGGCATACAACACACAAACTAAGGAGTAAATGGTTATGCATATGGCAAGAGATAAGATGATATTTCAGATGGCCTTGATTCATATAGTTCTAGTTCTGCCTTGCAAAGACAACTATTTCTAAGAGATTTCTGATTATTGATGTCTAAGTTTGGATAAAAATTGAGAATATTATTAGAGGTATCCAAGTATGTCTTTTTCAAGAGTATCCAATTAATTTCTAAGAGATATATGATTATGCTTTTGTTTTTCAACAGCACATTAAAAATGCGACCTGCTTAATGTTGCCTTCATTATGATATAGGGTGAATCTGTGAGAAATATTTAAGTTTTCTCAAAGAGTATCTAGGTCCTGCTAGGTTAGAACAGAAGGATCAACGATTCACATTAGCTTCCTCTGAAGGGCTCTTCAGGGTAATTGAAGTTTGTGTGGGATGATTCTGGCCTGTGTCATTTTCCATCTTCCCTGCTCAGGAAGTATTTACTGACTACATTTCTTCTTGTTTTAATTGAGATTTCTCATTTTGAGGGAAAGATAATTTGGAATGGCTTGTATGATCAGTGTTGAGAAAACAGAGATGAGAAGACTGCAGGTGGGTGAAGCTGGTGGGACTGTGTGCTATGAGCTGGGGAGTCCTGGAGAAACCAACTGGTGATAGCTGTCTGAGCATGAACTGAGAAGAGAGAAGAGGAAAAGTCATTTATTTTTACCTCTATGTTCACCCTAAAGAGAGGTTTTTTTAGAAAAACATCAAAATCGTGAATTTGATATAAAGGCCCATTTGAACTGAGTCTGCTCTTGGATGCTTGCTCCTTCCTCAATAGGTAATGGAATAAGAACATTGTATTAAACATCATTGGGCTTTTGCCAAGAAGGAGCACATTTTTCATATGGAAACTAATTATTGGTTAGTGTCCTACTTAATTTATTTTGAATCACATCTTCTGCTACTCAAGGAGTAGGTAAGAAACCATAAACACTTCAGGTTACTAGAGTTAGTAACTGTTAACTCTTTCAGGTATGACATTAAGAAACTTTTTTCTTTTTTTCTGAGACAGAGAGTCTCATTCTGTTGCCCTGGGTAGAGTGCTATGGCATCGTAGCTCACAGCAACTTCAAACTCTTGGGCTCAAGTGATCCTCTTTCCTCAGCCTCCCTGGTAGCTGGGACTACAGTTACCTGCCATAACGCCCAGCTTTTTTTAGAGCTGGGTGTCTCACTTTTGCTCAAGCTGTTCTTGAACTCCTGGGCTCAAGCAATCCTCCTGCCTCGGCCTCTCAGAGTGTTGGAATTACAGGTGTGAGTCACCACGCCGGGCCTGACATTAGGAAATTTAATGTGGGCAAATCAAGAAGCAAAAATCTCACTGATTTTTTTTTCCCATCTAATCCAGTTTGATATTTCCTCCCTTGTTTTAGTATTTGTATACCTGTATGTATATTGAGACTTAAGCCACTGTGGGTCTAAATAGCAAATGTAAAGTAATTTCTTTTGTCTAAAAAGAAGAGAGTATGGTTCTTGCTGGGGGGAGGGGGTATTTGTAGTTATTTCTATGGCAGAATTTATTAGAATTGGCCAAATTTCTTAATAATTTAAGAACTTTTAAGATTTTGCTTTTATTTAATCAGAGTGTGAAATTTCTTTCTCTTTTTTCTTTTCTTTTTTTGAGACAGAGTCTCATTTTGTAGCCCTCAGTAGAGTGCTGTAGTGTCACAGCTCATAGCAACCTCGAACTCTTGGGCTCAAGTGATTCTCTTGCCTCAGCCTCTAAGTAGCTGGGACTGCAGGTGCCCTCCGCAATGCCTGGCTATTTTTAGAGATGAGTGTTGCTTTTACTCAAGCTGGTCTCGATCTCCTGAGCTCAAGCAATCCACTTGCCACGGCCTCCCAGAGTGGCGGGATTATAGGCATAAGCCACCATACCCAGCCCTGAAATTTCTTGATATGATATAAAATATAAATATGGAGGAAGATCATTTTTACAATTATTTCACTTCTTTTACATATAAAGATTCTGAATAAAAATAATCTGATAAAAGGACTTTGGTTAAAATTTCTATATCTCAGTATAAAGCTATCTTTTCTTATGTCATGCCACGTGCATTGTACAACTTAAAGATAGCTATAGTCACAGACTTCAACTCTCATTCTTTCTTTGTCCTTTTTTCTTCTGCTGCTTCATCCCTCCCAGAACATCCATGCATTAGGCAGCTTTGGTGTGGTAAGTCAAGCACTCAGCTTGGCCTCAGAAAATGGACGTTCATGTTCTGTGCCGTGTACAAGTTCTGGGAATGTTGGCCAATTCCTTAACTTCTTAGTACCTCAGTTTAACATATAGTATGAAGGAAATCATTATGGTTGTGAAAGTTTACATGAAATAATATATTTGAAGGAACACAATGCTGACATCCTACTTAAAAAATTATTGGGGAGAAATTTTATTTATATATATAATAATTATATGTATATAAAATTTACTATTTCAAGTCATGTTAGGTGTACAGTTCAGTGATGTTAAGTATATTCACTGTGTTGTGTATGCTTACCACTATCCACTTCCACAATTTATCATCCCAAGGAGAAACTCTGTGCCCATTAAATACTAATTCATCATTTTCCCTTCCCACCAGCCCCTGAGAACCTCTACTCTACTTTTTGTCTCTACGAATTGTCTGTTCTAGGCACCACTTACAAAGGGAAATCACACAACATTTGCTATTTTTTTTTTTCTGGCTTTTTTCACTTAGCATAATGTCTTCAAGGTTCATGCATACTGTACCATGTATCAGAATTTCGCTCTTATTCATTTCATGTGTGTATATATCACATTTTGCTCATTCATCTGTTGATGGCACTCACCTTGCTTCCACCTTTTAGCTAATGTGAATAATGCTGCTGTGGGTTTGGATGTACAAATATCTGTTTGATAGCCTGCCTGCAGTTGTTTTGGGTAAATACACAGAAAGAAATTGCTGGATCATATGGTAATTCTTTAACTTTTTGAGTGACACTCTATTTCTAGGTCTTTTTGAATCTGTTGAATTTGGCATTGTAACAATGGAACACCTAAATGAAGTGCTTGTTCATAGTAGTGGTTTCTTCCCACTCCTGCTTTATTAAGGTATAATTGATAAATAAAAATTGCTTATACTTGTGGTATATAATGTGATACATCTCTACATTATGAAATGATGAAATCAAGCTAATTAATATATAATCACTTTTTTTGTGGTGAGAATATTGAAAATCTACTTTCAGCTATTTCCAAGTGTACACTTCATAATATTATTACTAACTCTAGCCTCCATGCTTCACAAGAGATTCCCAGAACTTACTGGAACTTACTTATCTTGTCTAAGTGAAACTTTTTACCTTTGACCAACATCTCTATATTCCTACCCACCCTTCATAGTGGTCTTCTAATTTCTATAGCTCATGTGATATCTAGCAAGACAGTGAGGTCAGCTTGAAATCAGGATATCGGGAACACCTTGCCAAGGTAGTAGGCTCTCTAACCCATGATTCTCAGAAATACATTGGGTGCACGTTTAGAGACCACCGAGGGTGAGAGTTTTCTCTGCTGGTGCCCATGTGTGTTGGTTAAACAATAGCTGTATCAATGGACATAACATTCTTTGCTTTGGATTTTTCTGGTCTTTCTGTAGGGTCCGAGGAGACTGAAGAAGGCAGAAGATAGGCTGATGGGCTCAGTTGGTAGACTCCCCTATCTCACCATGACTGCCGAAAATCCCACGTCTGGAGACTTGGCTCTGGCTCCACTTGTCACTTGCAAACTCTGCCTGTGTGAACAGTCTCTGGACAAGATGACCACACTCCAGGAATGCCGGTGCATGTTTTGCACAGCCGTAAGTTTTCTTTAATGCTTTCATTATGAGAAAATCAAAAAGGAAAAGTTATAAAAGGATGAGATATGTGTCTAAGGCATACTGAGAAGCCAGAGTTTGGCACGATGCGATCCTGCTTTGGAAAACAATCCACATTTGGTTCTGTTTACAAATAGTATCTTGAATGGTAAGTCCGATGTTTATTTGTAAGTATCATGTACATTTAATAATTATTGGTTCAATAAATAGTCTTTCAGTTCTTATGTTTCTAGCTAAGGAACAAAATAGAGAATTTTTTGAATACTTTAGTTAAGTATTGTCTGTAAGAAGCTTATCCAATATTTTGAATGATGGAGAAATCTGGTAGTAATTTACTCTACTGAATCTTCATAGGTCATCTTCGTATGGTCATCATAGATCTGCAGGAGTCTGCTTGTCTCTTAGTGTGACACTGATATCAATACCTGTGACCTTTCCTTGAAGGTTGGCTATTTAAGGTATAAGGATAGGAAACAGACTGATGAGCTGCTACAGGATTCAGAGATGACAAAGAACAATATTGTTTGTTAATTGATTAGCATTATTGAGCAGCAGCTATGTCCTAGGAGCTGTTGTAGGCACCAGGATTTATCAGTTAAAGAAACAAAACCCAGCTAAGGTTCTTGCTCTTAGGACCTTAGATTTTTATCAAAGGAAGTTATACAGGAGTGCAGGGCTGAGCGGATGCTGCAGGTTTAAGGAGAGGGTCAGGAGCAGGCCTCACTGCGGAGTAATATTTGTGCTGCCATCTTCTTTCTCATCTTCTCCATGTGCTACTTTATAGGAAGTGAGGAAACAGCTTTGTCATCTCAAAGCAACTTCAGTTTTCTTTGGTCTGGCTTTGTTTCTGAAGGCTGTCCTTCAAAAATGATTATTTCTCTGACATTCTAATACATGTTTCAGACCCTTGCTAATCCTTGAAACAAATGAGTCACAAGCAACATTTGCTGAAAACCAGGATGGAAAATTTCCCCTGAGGGTTTCTGATATTTAAAGCAGACCGTGAATTCAGGTTTTGCTATGAGATTTAAAGCGCAGAATTCAACTTTGTGCATCAATGTTGGGTAAAGAATACCTAAGTAAAGGCTGTTTCATATGGGTATTCACTCATCCTATCTTTGTTTGAAGGGATTTTAGTTCCTAATTAAAAACAGCACCATTGCTGCCCATTTCTCTATCAGCAATTTGGGAGGAGGAGTTAGTATAATTAGATTATTCTGGTATTGAGATTCATATTTTTATATTGTTAGGGAGTGCCCAAAAGCAGAAAAGTCAAATGGCTTGACATTTTTGGTATCTTTCCAATTTTGAAACTTTTTGTACCTATGAATATTAATCTTCTCTGATATCTTATTACCCCATTACCTATGGTTTGCCAAAAGCACCTCTATAGTTGACCACTTCTGCACTGATCACTTCCTAAGTCTACCTAATTTTCACAGACTGGACATGCACCACATATATGTATCAGTAAGTAGGCCTAGTTTCTTATGTTGACCACCTCTGTATGTTGACCAGTTTGTTACAGTCCCATGGGTGGTCAATTTACAAAGTTCTGCTGTAATAAGTTGCATATGATTACATTAATGCCTGTAAATTTGCAATTAAAATCAGACTTACTTGAAATACTATAACTTTCTTTTGGTTAGAGATTTATTTCTTCTTTTTAAAAAAACATTTTAAAAATGCGTCTAATATTCCCAGGCATTAATTTACATTCAAATTAAAGATATCAAATATGTTTTGCATTTTTAAGACTGACAAGAAATTTGTAATTTTTTTTGGATATGCCATATAGTACTAATTTCCCACTTTTAAATAGGATTGGATGACATCTCCCAGTTATTGGCTGGGTAAGATTTTTGTGCATACCATACATTTAAGATAGTCTTAGGTTGGACAGAGTGCCTCTTGCCTATAATTCTAGCATATTGGTAACCCAAAGTAGAAGGATGGCTTGAGGCCAGAAGTTTGAGACTAGCCTGGGCAACATAGCAAGAATGTCTCTACAAAAATAAAAATAAATTAACCAAGTGTGGTGGCATGCACCTGTGGTCCCAACTATTCAGGAAACTGAGGCAGGAGGATCACCTGGGCATAGGTATTTGAGGTTGCAGTAAACTATGCTCATACTACTATACTCTAGCCTGGATGACAGAGCAAGATCCTGACTCAAAAAAAAAAAAAAGGATTTTACTGGTTTTACTAAGAATGCCACCCCACCTTGTCCCTGGGGAGTGTCCAAATATATTTCTCTCACTAAATTTGGTGTTATACTGGTATATTTTCCATGGATTTAATAAATCTTTAAAAACATTCTGTCTTTCTTCTGTTTTCTCTGAGAGGTATCCCTGACCATTTTGCTGTGAGTTTAAATGCATTTTGTTTCTGAGATGACTGTGCTCCATTTCTAGCTCTACCCTAATTCAGCTGTGTGATTGAGTAAAATCTCTTCAGGTCTCTGAGTTCTCATGTATAAAATGACCCTTTACAGTGTTCCAAATATGGGGTGCCATCTAAGCTGGGAGTGCAGAATGGACAGAGGTGGGAAGTCTGACTTGATCATTGAGTGTTGACCGTCCATTCTCTGTCTCTGGCAGACCTGGTCTTTACATTGATTCCTACCCCCACCTATCCCAAGTGTGTTCCATGGGCCACCAGCTCTGTGAACCAAGAGGGTCCTTGAATAAAGTGTTCCATAGTCAAATTAGCTTGAAAACTGCTATGTTCTCTATTCCTTTCTTGGAGCACATTTGCATTTGTACAATGCACATTTGCATTTTACAGGCTCTGTGAAATATGTGGTTAAGAGGAAGGGGGGGGACCTCATTTAACTTTGGCTGACCATGCCACCTTTTAATGTGAAACAGATATTAACTTGCCTACAACTGGTGTTCTGAAGAACACTGCTTTAAATTATTTCATGTAGGTAATTCTTGATTTAAATGACATTTAGGGAAAGGAATGTAATAGACGTTGCTTCACACTAACCCTTAGTGTTATCTAGTTTCTTGTTCAAGGGTGTTCTCTCTGTGAAGATGGTTTCTGTAGACTATTTGTTCAGTTTTAGTCTATAGAAGAAAATATAAAGTAAGAGAAGCTGCATATATAAGACAAAAAATAGGCATAGCTGTCAGTTGCATGGAAGATGTAGATGATTAGGTGTATTACTGAGTCAAAGAAGTTGATATGTTGGGATTACAGGGAGAGAAGTGTGCCAGAATTATATGTTCTATTCTGAAGGTTAAATATCTCAGGGATTTTAGTCTACTTCTGATATTCAAAGAGTATCTATCTGTCTCTATTTTTTTGCCTGTAGATTTAAATAACCCAAATATGAAAATTAAAATTTTCCTTTTTTGGTTTTTGCAATGCTCTCTTTCACATAGTGCCACACTATGTTACTTAAAGTGAAAGAAAAAAATTCACAAAAGTCAGTTATCGGCTTGGCGCCTATAGCTCAACCGGCTAAGGCACCAGCCACGTACATCTAAGGTGGCGGGTTCGAATCCCCAGCCCGGACCCGCCAAACAACAATGACGGCTGCAACCAAAAAATAGCCGGGCGTTGTGGCGGG